GTAATGCTTTGTATGAGAATATTTTGAAAAATTACATACGGAACCTCAAAACGCAGGTGTAATATATTTGAACCTAGTAAGAAGTGCAATTTAAAATAAAATATTTCGTAGAGCACTCTGGCGAGAAGAAATTGTATTTGAAACAAGAACCACCATATCGTTGGTAATAGAATCACCGTAGCATAAGTTGCTCAAGTTATGCATGTATATTTAAGTATAATGAATGCACCGTAGAACGCGCTACAGTTACCATTGATGGAAGTAATAACATGTAACTGGATTTAATACCACTTCCATGAAATACTCTTGCGTATTGTGCAGTTTCTGGCTAGTATGGAATAGAATCGATATACATTTGATACTGTCGGACTAATACACCAGGATGTATTAATTACACGCAATCTCAACACAATTCACTTATGCTTGATGCTATCGTAATGAAATGTATATGCATATGCGCGTATGTGCATACGATTCCTGTTTTCTCTTATGCACTCCATATAGAATGAAAAAATCCACTACAGCGTTTCACTGGTAACATTAAAGCTACCAGACGGTTCAAAATAATCCATTCCCGATTTCTTCTTTTTGCAATTAGTAACACATCGCGTACCGGCAACGAGAAGTCTCGTTTTTATTTCAACCTATCGTTGTAATTTAACTATCAGATCATTTAAAGAAATATTAAACTTTATCGAAACTGATTACTTGTTTAATACTTATGAAATAATAAGATATTTGAATATTTTTCATATAGTGATACGTCACGAACTTATAAGTTGATATTGAGAAATCGGCCAGTTTTCTAAGAATTAACTGGTACGCAATGTGTTAAAGAGATAACAGATGGTTTTTTGAGGAGTTATTGAAGAAATTGATTTAGCAATAGGTAAACTGAATTTTAAAACAATTAAAGTCTTAATAAATACACTCTTAGAGATTCTATAGAGGAATTTTAGAAAGTGAATTTAACTGCTGGATAGTTTTAGTGTTAAAATCGATGATTAAGAAATCGATGACACATATTAAAGTACTAATGAAAAATCGCAGCTTATTAAAATGCATCGTTAGTGCATGAAGTTGAATACACGAAATGTTAAATTGCATGTTATCGCTGTTCACAATTGTGAAGATATTTGTTTCAAGGAATTTAAGGATTTTCCGTGGATCGCATATTTTGCACCATTGTTGCTTCATTAGGTTAAAATAGTTAATGAATGTGTTGGATGTAAAATGAGGATATAATTACTGAAATATAAGCTCATTAACTGTTACAACTGTATAAGATTATTAAATATTTGAAAAATATATGAAACATTATAAAACATATTTTACAAATACAAAATGTTTTGATATAACATAATACCCTTGATAGTCAGAAACATTAACGCGGAAGCCTTAGCGTATAATGTCCAAAAATTTTAACTATTTTAACTATTCATTCCTTAATAGTAAAAAAAATTTGACTCGTCATACATGCAAATAATAAAAACTGAATTTTCTTAAATGTGGAAATATTAAAACTGATTAAATAGATATACTTTCTGAGGAATGAAAATGTAATTTCACATGAAAATAAAATAAATCCAGCAATAAGTTTAAATACTAAATTCACTAATGAATTAACGTATACAAAAATCTTTTATAAGTTTATGCGATGAACAATGTAGTTCTAGCAAATGTAACATAATGCAAAAGTACGTTAACGTCTACCGCTGTGTTAAAAGCTGTACAAAATCTTTTAAAATTTTATTATAAATAAATTACTCGTGAATAAGAGATAAAGGTATTAAAGGATAATTTCGAAATCCTTTCTCATAAATCTATTCTACAATTTAAAATTAAACCATCTTACTATGCTCTGTTTTTGTTAACAATTCTGTAGAATTTTCATTCTTAATAATTACATTATAAGAGTGACAAATATTCATACGATTGTAATGAGGTGTAGTGGAAATAATGCAATTACAATCGTTCAATAGCTGCATATTTACGAGCTCGTCAGAATTTCAACTTTGTTAAATCGATAATGCACTACTGATAAGAAGCGGTAGCCATTCAACCCTGTCTGCTTGTTTACATAGCACAATAAAGTCGATGCAGTCTATATTAGTAATAAAATTCTTTTGGTTCCTCCAATCACATTATTACGAAACAATCATTAACCGTAATTTGTTCGCAATCTATTTTCATTATTATTCTCTTTATATTATTTATCATTGTCATGTAGTTGCTTACGTTAACCCCTTGCCCTGGGATTTCTTTCTCAACTTTGATCAATACTACTTTGTCATTAATAATTTATTGGAAAAAGAGAAAGATTGTAGGCATATCCTGTTTGCTCGTAAGTATAACTGATTACAGAAGCATACAGTTTAAATTCGAATGAATCGTGCAATATACATGTTTCTTAAATCACATTGAAAATATTCACCCCGAGTCTGACATGTCATTACAATGCAAGAGGTTACCATTTGGTACAATAACATGTTCAATATTCTTATTATCATTTCTATGTATCATTAGCATTTCGATTATATTATTTCCCTATTATTTTCAAAAGTGAAAGTAAATGCAGGCAGACTTTAATACGCCTGTTCGCTAACCGACCCATTACTGCCGATAGGAAAAGTGTCCCGTCCCCTGTTATAAAAGTAAATTGTCTTTCCTTAAGCAACTGAAGGTTGGTTTACGAGGTACAGGCGGCAGTCACGGGCACGTCACTTCAGAAATTACAGGCTAAAAGATATCTCTCGGGCTAAATGTTTGCCCGCCGAAATGGCAATTCCATTATGCTCCGCCTTTGAAGGTAAATGCACGCATCGCGGATGAAAATATTGCTATCACCAATACCGAAAGCGTTTGTGCATATGAGCGTGGCAAAAAGACCGCGATCGCACGCTGGTAAATACACTCGCGATACAAAGGAGGGCCGAAAATATATATATATATAAACGCGCGTGGCCGATTCACGTCGGCACAGGGAACAACACCAACACGGCCGTCCCCGTGTGAATAGTTTTTCCCCGCTCTCGGGCTTTTTTCGCGAACGGATCACATTTTCTTAACAGCTTGATTTACTGCGAGCCAACAACCACGCTTTCCCAAATAGGCACCGACGCGCGCATTGGCCTTTTGGGTTTCTATCCGGTGCCACCTCCGTCCGACTTACTCCGTTCTCTTTTCTTCGTCGACCGGTGCCAAAGTGCAGCCAGGAAGGAGAGTGTTTACTCTTCCCCCCAACCCTTACTTTTCCCCTTTTCCACGTGGTTACACTGATTTGCCGACGTAACCTCAGGCCTTTCGAGAAGTGCAAGGTTGCTCCGGTAATTCCAACGTAAGAAGGGTTTCATTTCGTTTTAATGCCTTTGTTTTTGTGTACGAGTGGTATTAACTTGTTCGCGTCATACGACGAAATCGAGGATATTCCATTATAATCGAATTTCTATGTCTTTAAATGATATTTTAATGATTATAGCGTGTAACGAAGTATATAGACTGCGATATAAAAGCAGGATAATAAAATATGTAATGATAATAACAGTAATCATATAATAAGATGGTAATATTGATTGATTATTCATTGACGATCTAATCTAAGGGTGTATTTATATGCTAACGATGCAAATGGTTAATTAAATAATTCCATTGAGTAGGATTATTTTATGAATGGAAATTAGTTTCTAGAGAATAATGTTTATGTTAGCGGAAGTATCTATATACGGTAAATATCGCTTAAATTAAAATCGTACACGTTAACGTTAACAAGATTCTCGATTCTAAATCGCTGCCGTTTGTAGGTTAAGAAACGAAATTGAAATGTAACAGTCGCAAATTAAAGAGTCTACTTGTAATTATTTTAAAACAACATTTGAACGGAAGATTTCAATTGGACGTTCTAAATTAAATAGTAAGCAGGGGCGTAACAGTGCAGAAGTTACTCGGAATATACAGAAACTTCGAGACAACGATGCAGTTACCAAACGTAGAACAACAGTAGACGCGGATGTCTTAAGAACAACAATTAAAGAAAATCTAAGGAAATCAACTCGACGGAAGGCATTTGAATTTGGAATAATTCCAACGAGTATTCTTGATATTCTACATAAGATAAACGCTTAAAAGGAATGAAAATTAGCAGCAGCAATCTATGGAAATGCTATCTCTCATATTAGAGAAGTAATATGATATTTTTAACCCTTTGCACTCCAAAGGTGCATCTCAGTCACCACTCGACTGGTGCGTTAAAATTGTAAAATTTCGTATTTAACGTTAAGTTTTGAGTAATCCGTCGATACGTGAAATATGGAAATAATATACCATTGTTCCCCTTATTCTGTGAATATATTCCTCGTTAAATTTTAAAGAATGTCATTTATATCTCATAAAAAGATTGAATATTTCTAGTGACAAATTTTTGAAGTACAGAAGATTAAAATTTCATTGTAATTCGTAACAAAGATGGCTTCTATACGATGATCACAAAAGATCGACACAGTTAATGACTAAATTGCAATGAAGCTCCAAAAAATAAGTCGAATTCACGGAACATTATGTTCAGTAGCTGGAATTTTTCTGTATACGATTTTAATTATTCGAAAATCAATCGCTTCAGACAATTACTGCCATGAATTAAATGTATACAAAATTGATAAAAAAGCAATAATTAATCATGCAAAAAATAGTCCGTAACATAACAAGATGGAATAAGACGAATCTTTATTAATTTAAGTAATAATTTATTTATGTGATCACATGCGGATATAACTTTAATATTTGCAGCATGTATAAAATTTAATATCTCCATAATTTTTACCTGAAATCTTTGACAATGCAGATTTCATTGTGGGTCATAATGTTTGTCATGAAATAATTATACCGTTTCAAATAAAAATTCTCTTTCTCCTACGGTATCATACTCTAATTTTACATTTTCTCATTACAATGTCATGTGTATTTACTACATTGCGATCTAATAAGAAATATGAAACATGTTACAGGTGGCATGGCTGCGCGTGGACACCCAAACAATACTGACAATATCTACTCATGTTATTACGAAGAACCATCGAATAGGCGTCACTCACAGTGATCATCGTACCTGGTTCCTCCACATACGAGAAGTAAGAGAATCCGACAGGGGATGGTATATGTGTCAGATTAATACGGATCCAATGAAAAGCCAGAATGGATACTTGGAAGTTGTCGGTGAGTATGACCGGATCTTTCCGAATTAGCTGGCCGTCCATTTATCTGATGTTGTAAAATATATATCGAGGTCTCTTAGGGCTGATATCGCTTGTACCAAGCATTGCATTTTATGGAATTACGTTACAGTGACTGTCAAAATCACAAAATTCATAGATATATGTCTCAACGTATTACTTGTTCCTTTTTAGGAAACACGATGACGTGCTTTCCAGGACCATAATTTTTAAATTATTCATAAAATCTGTCCACTTTTTTGGTTACTTATTAGCAATTGATTAAATTTTCTGCAATTTTCTTACGTAACGGATAGTTAACCCTTCGCACTCGAGAGGTGACTCTCAGTATAGTTGTACAGCAAAGTTGCAAAGTATTGTATATAGTATTAAGTTTTGTATAATGCATCGATATGTGAAATATTTATATAAAGCAGCTTTGTTTCTTAATTGACGTATGTTTTCTCATTAGTTCGTTTCAAATAGCGTCGTCTATGTCTTATTCGAAAGTGTCGAATGTTTCTAGTGAAAAGCTTCCGAGTGCGAAGGGTTAAATAACAATTACAACTTTATCTCGATTCTTCGTAACTGTTTCAGAACCGATATATAACAGTTTGAAACAGATTTTCAGAACTATTTTATATATTCAAACGATTTACTTTTAAAATCATTTTGGATTTTTCACGTTTTCAAAATTCCTGTCATTTGACGGGTGCGGTAATTATAGTGTTAATTTAGACGATATTTTAGTCTTGATAAGGAGTTAAGGCGAGAGATATTTTAACTTCAATATCAAGTTAGTTTATAAATTAATATCGAGAGAACATATGCTGATCGATGGGCTATTAAATATTCATTTCAAGAAAGTGAATATTGCATTCGGAATATGGAAGTGTCTGTGAAATACGGAAGAAACGCAAATTAGGATCTTCTATAAAAACGTACCGCTAAGTCATTGTTGGCTTTCAACATAAACGGGAATCACACCAATTTTCCTTGTAGTGTAGGTAAACGCATTACAATCCCTTTGAAGTTTCGACCACAAATACAGACGAAGGAATCACTTCCGAATATTTCAATATGCTTTTGGTTCTCGCTTTCAACAATACATCTAATAATAGCAAACATGTGTAAGTGAGAATTTATGTTGTTACTCGATAACCGAAATATTTAAATAAATTGGAAACATTAACATAATTATTTTGAGATTAGTTGAGGAAAATAGAAAATATATTATTGAAACAATTGAATTTGATATGTTATGCTGAATAAGAATATTAAAAAATGTTTAAATCTCCTATAAACGATGAGATATAATATTTACTAAAATAGCGTTATCTTATTCTAAAGAAATGAGAAAATTAAATGCCCTTATTTAAATATTCTATCACGTGTATTAAAAATTGTGTATTAAACTAAACTTTTATTTAAATAAATATATTGTAGTCGTATGTCGTAAGTCACTAATAGCATAAATAAAAGTAACGTACGTCGTAGTTGTGTTGAACAATAGAATGTTAAATATCAAAAGTAATTATGTAGAATACGATTGTTAGAAAGCGATAAAATATAGAAAATTAATCAGTCGTGTCATCACAGGCTCATCCCATTGGGTCGTTATCGTGATCTCGTAACAGATTAAATTGAAGGTATTAACGACTGCCTAATCACTCATGGGGTTAAGGTTGGATCAATGGCTGAATAGAAAGGGAGGAATACCGTACAGTTATCGGTAACATTCGCGATAGCTGTTGTAACACCGATTACGTCATGTCAACGTTGGAAACTGATACGCGGATGTAATTCGCAGTATTTTAATCAACCATGACAACCTGTGAGAATCTGATCCCGTTTCAACCCTATTCTCATCTTAGATAAATGATTTGTTACTATCTCGATTCGAATCAATCTCGCAATATGCCTATAGTGTATTAATGTACACGCATTTACGTACGTGCATTCTTAACCCTTTGAACTCTGTAGGCTCCAATATTGCGCCAGTTATAATATTAAATATTTTAATGAATCTTAAAGAAACTACCCTAAAATTATTAAATTTTCCACATATCCAAATTTTGTACTAACAAGGAAAATAAAAGATCGAAGAAATGTAGCATTTCTAATTTTCGCTAGGAATACTATAAAAATTAGTCGCAGTTGCTGATAGATTACAAAACAACCTGGAGTGCTAAGGGTTGAACAAAATTGTTTAACAACAAAGAGAAAAATTTGTGAATACAACAAGAGGTTAACAGTTATTTTTCCTTAATTAACACTAGAACTACTGTACCAGTCAAAACGACTGGTTTTAGTTTTCTCGTTTCGTAATTGGTGAAATCTTATGATTTCGAAAATAGTTTCTCTTGAATTCTATAAAATGTCTGAAGAAGTTGAAAATAATCTATTTTCACAACTTTTATACGGGTTACGTATTGAACGTTTTAAACGCTCGGCAGTTCTAGTATTAAGTAAACCACTGAAAATACCGATAATATTTACCCGCATGAAAAATAATATAAAATATTCTTCAGGAATTAATAAGAACTCATCGTTAAAACTTTCATACACGGTTAATCGCGACATTTATTAGTGTCGCGTACTGATTTTAAGCTCGTTTTCTGTAATAGCTTAATTACGACTATAAAGGAGATTGCGGCAGCAGACGCGTGTTACATGGTAAAAGTGAAAGTACAAGGATTACGCAACGGAAACTTGTAACAAGTTGAAACGTGCACCATGTTTGGTTTTTTAATGAAATTATGTATACATAATGTCACGGGTTCTGGATCCAGTTAAGTTAAACGAGCATCACCTTAATGCTTTATTGTAATAATCGTGCATCGTCGGCAAAGATCAAGCTTCAGTAGTTAAACGAACGTAAAGCCACGCAAAAGACCTTTCGCTTCTACTTAATTTGCAAGGCATTAACCTTATTATTATGGAGCAATATGGTCGCGAGTTTGCGAGAACGCCGTATAGAGGGTTGCACGCGAGCAATCTTTACGGCCCTTCTCGGAAATGAAACCTCGTATATGCCCTTTCACAACTGCACGCTCCCCCTTTGCTTTATTCTTTTAATTCTTTTAGTCTCGGTATACTTACCCTTTTCGTTTTATGGATACCGAGATCCTGAAAAATCTTTCTGTTGTCTGGAATTTTAATAATCGCTTCTAACATTCTAGACGAAAACTTCATGATACCGAATGGGACTTTTCGTTATTTTAATATTTTTTTCGCGATACGAAAGTCTCGTTATTTTTTGAGTGGATTTTTTAAAATAGTATGGAAGTACTGGTAATTTAGAATTGACTGTTGCTAACGAACGATTATCAGCCGTTCTTAGGTAACTGTGATTTCACTACACTTAAATTTACCATACTGAATCAAATTTCTTATGTTTAACACTTTATATCTCACTACAATATTTCTTTATAATAAAGCAAATATGCTACTGTTAAAATAAATAAATTTGAAAAATGAGTCAATTTATATAAAATATTGTGCATATTTTAACTATTTGCAGATTTGTGATGTTATTGATATGAATGATCTGAATTGTTCTTTAAACCAATTTTTGTTTGTAATATACTTTTTAGCAATTATTAAAGAATAATTATTTGAAACATTATAAATAATATG